AAGGACAAGAAGACAGTCCTCATTGCATTGTCTTTTTTAACCAGGAGGACACCTTTCGGGTTGTACACAAAGCCGGCAATTTTTGTAAAATGTCCTTTTTATTATATCTGAGGATAATTCTAAACTGGAATATACTGTAGATTTTCAAACAACCATACACGTACACACACAATGCTAATGAGGGAAGCATATGCACTTGATTAAGAACCTTATGGCAGTAGTCAGGGTCATGAAACTTTTTACAGAAAACACTTTTTTTTCCCCATTTTGTAGGACAATGCGCAGTTGTGTAGTCACTGTAATCTAGGATAGGGACTGCCTGGTAGAAAGGCACAATCTTTCAGGCTTTTCCTTCAGTGTATTTTTCTTAACTGATTTGCAGCAAATCACAGAACGTATACATTGGTTAGCATGGTAAGCACTGTAAACCGAGGCAGTTAAGTTTTTCATACAATTGGACAACTATGTCAAGTTGAAATTAATCTTCCATGCATACCATCTTGGACTCTTTCCCTGTCAGAGAGGTGACATTCCATGTCTGTGGAGCTAGTTTCTTTTGCCGGGGATCGGTTCACCTTTGGCCCAGCTCACAAAGCACCTGACCCCTTTGGCGACTCCTACAGGTGGTGAGTCCTTGGAATCAGGGACCCACGTTTTGTCTTCAGGCTGAGCCTGGCAGGGCCCTATATGTGCAGGCTTGGTCACCAGGCACTGACTAACAAGCCCTACCTCCAGGCCTGGCTCCAGCAGGGGACCATGGTGACCCACGTCCGGGCAAGAGAAAACTCCATTTGTGTTATTCATCATAAGGGGTCATATGAATCGTGCTTTGTCTGGTGTTTGACCAAGGACCTGTTTGCCATGGGTGACCCTACCTGGGGCATCAAGCCCCAGACAACGATCATGAGTAGACAGAAACTCCTCCACCACAACAAAGTGTCAACTCACGGAGGGGGAAAGCTTATGCGTGATTATAAATTGACAAAGATAAAAATAAAGGACATGTTCGCTTTAATTATATTTTGTTTCAGTTAGTTAACTAGACGTAAGATGACTTTTCGGTTAGTCTTGTTTTTTTTTTGTAAAGCATTTTTATTTTATTTCTGTAACCAAAAAATAAATAAATAATAATAACATTTACAGAGCCCACCAGGGGACATCACAAGAATATTTAAGATTACAATACAATGCAAAACTATTGCTTCAGGTTAGCGTTTTACTTGATGTTGTAAGGTATAATTCTAAACTACTTTCTCAGCTCCCTATGTATTATTATTATTGTTATTATTATTATTATTGTTATTATTATTATGTACTATGTAATATTATATATCTACATTAGCCTCAGGAGAGAACATTTCTGGAGTCGCCCGTGATTAATATTGTAGTGATGGTGAAGCCACACACTTGCCTTGATTTTCGTAACCTTAGTAGACATGAGTCATTGTCATGAATGCAATTCTAAATTGTACAGTATGAAGGTGCTGAAACCGAAATAATGACAGCAACTTATTATATGATGAATATATGGTGCATATGGGACCAGTATCGATTCAGCCAACATTCAATTACTTTTCGATTGCTCATCTTAATAGCACAGATGTGTTGTCATGACAGTGGAATGGATAGCACACTGTAAAGAAAAAAAATGTTGGAAAAAATACATATATTTTTGTCACAGAATGCTGCATGTCGAGTAATGCACAGTCCCCAAGCTTAATGTGGCAATGATGATTTATTGATGTTGAAATGCTACACAAAGCACCTTTACATGTTCGGACTCCACAAAGAAAATCCTCACTGACAGAGATTGTAGGGCGCCCCCTTGTTTTAGGAAGATGTCAAACAGGCATGTTGCTGTTTATTTATTCATTTATTTATCCAACAATGTGATCACGCAGATCTTTTTTTTTTTTTTTGTAAGAAGGAAGAACAGAAGACAATGCGCAAACAACCTTGTCCCAGTCGCTGCATGTCTGACTTCACGTTATATCGCCTACGTTAGAAGATTCAGTAGTATGGCACCATTTCCAGGCTGTCATCGTGTCTTGTTCTCATTCGTGTGAGCTGCACTATTTACACATCGTTAAAAAAGAAAAAAAAAAGAACAACAAAGCAAAAAGAAATAAACTGGACAAGGGAGCAAGTGTCACGAAAACGGTGTATGAAACTATAGTGACTATGTACACGCCCGTAATTGTTTTTTTTTTTTCATATTTACAGAACACATATCTGTCTTCACATCTTTAATAAGTCACATCAATCATATTAAATATAGCAAAAAAAAAAAACCTGTTCTGCTGTAGAAAAAAAAAAGAAAAAATAAGCGGGAAGGAAATGAGTCAATCCGAATGACATGGAACCACGTGTGAAACACATTTTAACATAAAACAGAGAGAACAATAATATTAATACCACTAGTAATGACATTATCGCAACAATTTAAAATCTCTTTTCAGCATCTCTCCTCTGCCGCCCACCATCACTCATCAGCCATTTTGTAAAAATTCAGTTTTAACTACGAATAAGAAACATTCACAATAGTGTCCTTCCTTTAGGGATCGCCACTGAATCCTCACATTTGGTTTTGCTCCTAACTGCTCCCTAAAGTCGTATTAAGTGATCAGTAGGCGCTCCTTTTTTTTTTTTTTTTTTGCCGCAAAAGTATCTCTTTAAAAAAAGTGTGCCGACTTCTCAACTCGGCTCTTGAGTCACTCAGATGACAAGTCAGGTGACAAGATTGATACAATCTTTTTTATTCTGTGCGTCCACGATCTTGTACAGTGTATATATCTTGCTTCAGTTCTTATGCCTCCTGGGGGTCATTTGTGGGTACCAGGGATGAACATATGACTACATTTGCTCCCTCCGGTCATTTAAGTATTTATTTGTGAGATCGTATTTCATATTCGTTTTCATGGTTCGTGTATATTTCTTCCCATAGATATGTTTATTTGTCTATTTCTTCAAGAAATTGTTTCATTAACTTTTTTTTTTTTTTACAAATGCTTAATGAAGACTGACTCGACAACGCCTTTTCTGATTGCAGCTAAATAACGCACGCCACTTTTGCACCATTTGTCAAACATCACCTCCAAACAATCTCCCGAATTCTTCACAATCAATGACTTGACTATTCATTTTCAATCTAATCCTTCGGCGGTATTGCGATGGGTTCCGAGGTGCAAGAGGGCGAAGCCTGTGCTTTACAAAAGCAAAATCAACGTAGCAAAGAGAGGGTTCGTGAATCGCGTGAAAAGAGAAAAGGAAAAAAGAAAACAATGTTATGTCGTATACCACCTCGCAGTTTGTCCAAAAATTTGGAGGAATCAGTCGTCGTACAAAAACTTTATTGAACCCACGTCACTCGGTCGTCTGGCTAGCTGCTATTGTAAAGTTGATTTTAGAAGTGGAGTCTTTTCTTGTGATTAACTTTTACACTTCGGTGAAAAATGCGAGGCTGCTATTCGTCATTGAACATGAAAGTGAATGTTCCATCATCTTAATATTGCCTCAACATCGGTTCAATTATTTTGACACACGTGTGGCAGCTAAGAATGGCAAATGTTTCTTTTAGCATTGCATGTTGAGATAGTTAAGGTTTTGCAATTCACTTTCGATTGTTCATGGCATATTTTTTTTTTAATCTCAAGAAATGAGTGGGTCAACCAGCGTTTGAAAATGTTTTTGTCATAGTTTTGGAAAGGAGTTGTTGTCTCACGCCACCTATCTAGACTCGCTTTATCCCCTCTCATCCTCTACGCCACAGGTGTCAAAGTCAAGGACCGGGGGCCAGATCTGGCCCGCCATATCATTTTATGTGGCCCGCGAAAGCAAATCAAACATGTCAAGTTCCATGATGCTTGCTAAAGTCTGAACCAAAATTTCAAATTGTCAGATGTAATCTACGATAACAGTCATTATTCTTGACTTCTGATTTTAAAAACTAGTTATCCATCAATTTGTTGTGCGCCGTGTATGTAATATGCGAAGGTGATTAAACGTTGATATGGATTCCCGAAATTCATTACGGCCCACCAAGGGAAACCGTAACTAGAATGTGGCCCGCGACAAAAATGAGTTTGACACCCCACCTCTCCGCAATGTAAGAGTCCCTGCCTGACATTAACCAGCAATTAGGTGATTCATGCTTTGTCCTCTATTCCTTCTCAGGTTGACGTTTGCATTACATGTCGAGTAAAATAGAGTGAAGTGTAATACTTCAAATAAAGGTAAAGAACTGTGCACGCCTAATGAATATGAGCAAGCAATACGGTGGCGCTCAAGTTTAAAGGAAAAGCTCAACACAGGTCCAGTGGAACTTGGGACCAATAGAGTTCCACAGGTTTTCGGGGGGCGCTGGTAACACAGGCAACACCACTGCAGGACAAAGCAATTTTTTTCCCTCTTTTGATTTGTGTATGAGAATGTCTTTTATCTTCAGAACAATCAAGAACCCATTATTGCTGCAACCTATGAATAAATACATAAATTCTAAATAAATCCTCTAATCAGGTCAGTTCAATGCATTTAACCCAAAAATCACTCCAAGGTTAATGTTGATCAACATGGTCAACAATAATAACAATTTTTAAAAAAAAAACAACAACAACTATATCTGCTGTATACAGTAGTTCAACTTGAGAATTATAAAGAGAACATGAAGAATTGTACAGAAATGTTTGTGCTTGCGATCGCGTCATCTGAAAATGGATGCCAGCTTGGCGATTTAACATCAGTAAAAATAAAACAAAACCAAAACAAAACAGGTTTTGTTTTGTCCTGACTGCAGAGCTGCTGCGTTAAATGGCTGCTTGAAATAAAGTGCAGGATGTCATCCAAGCATCGTTTCCTTCATATTCTAGACTTCCTTTCAAACATGTAATCTCATTGTTGACGGGGACAACTATTCAACAAATAAATGAAGCACTACATCTTACATTCTTGTTGCATGACGGGACCACTGTTTGTTTGCTCGCTTTTGTGCTTTTTTTAAAAAAAAAAAATGTGTTTGTTTTTGGAGCATCGAGACGGAAAGTGAAGCAAATAACCAAATGACGCTCACCCTGGGACACTTCATTAGGTACACCCGCACATGCTGTAGAAAAGTCTGCCTTCTTAAATAGAAACATGCTCAAGTGTTAACTCCGCTAAAATGATGTTTTCTTTGATGTTTATTGTCTGGATTAGGCCAATGATTTCAACAACTGCCATGAATCTTTGTCGTGGGGATGTGGGGTGTCGCAAAGACAAGCAAGCAATAACCGATTCAGTTATGGTACAGAGGTGCATTTTCTGACATATCTATGCAGGTATACAAATAAAATCCAATTAGATCAGTTCAACTTTGGCGGTGGTCTATACCCTATAAAGTGGCCATTCTACTCTGGCGACATTTTTACCCTATGTTGGGAGAGACGGGACTTGAGTGAACGTTCACATTAAATCTAGTGGTGCCGCAAGTAGCACAAATGTATTCCTATTTAGTGACACCCACATCCTCCCCCAAAACATGGTCCGATCCTCTCCAAATTTTACAGAGTGACTTAAGTAACGAGCCAAAACCTGACTGCATCACGTCAATCATAACTGAGCATCATGAAAAAAAAAAAGCTTTTATATTGGATTTGATTGTCCAGGTGTATCTAAGAACTGACGGGTGAACGTACGTCATCAACAGGAAGGACCGCAGATTTTTTTGATGGAAATATGGATGAAGTAAAAGTTGCATTTAGTGCTAAAGCCTCCCTCCCTTTTTCCGCTTGAGTGTTTCTGTACATTCATGAAGCGCAAACAAACACACCGACTCCAAACCTGTTTGTTCATCTGCGACTCCTTCTCTAAAAGAAAACCCTGAATCATCTGTCACATCTGGATTCATTCACATAACTCTCTAACTGCATTATTGTAAACAAAGGACTCTTATGATAGTATAACTTGAAAAATAATACAATGATCGCTGAACCCCCATTGGCCAAAAAAAAAAAAAAAAGGACAGCATTTATTCGTTTTGTTCGTTATCTCTGTGTTATAAGGCTGGTCCATTCATTGTGTGTGTATGTGTGTGTGTGTGTGTGTGTGTGTGTGTGTGTGTGTGTGTGTGTGTGTGTGTGTGTGTGTGTTCGTGTTCATGTCTCTGGCCATTTGCGGAGCACAGAGCCAACTGGTCACAGGTAGAAGCCAGTGGCAGGTGGATCAGGGAGGCCAGGCAGAGTCTCCTGGCAGGGTATCTGGACAGCAGGGGGCGTTGTGCCATTGGTCATTGCTGCTGGGTATGATGTTGTCGTCAGGATGTGGCCATTCTCCACCTGTACGGTACCAGAAGGTAAGAACAGAACGGCAGGAAGTGATGCAATGTGGTGAATATATCGCGCAACATTTATTATACATGTATTTTATTTATTTATTTATTTATTTATTTATTTATTTATGACCCAGAAGCCCGGTGGGCCAGTGGTTAGCACGTCGATCTCACAGTGCAGAGATACCGGGTTTAATTCTAGCTCCGGCCTCCCTGTGTGGAGTTTGCATGTTCTCCCCGGGCCTGCATGGGTTTTCTCCGGGTACTCCGGTTTCCTCCCACATTCCAAAATCATGCGTGGCAGGTTAATGGAACACTCTAAATTGTCCCTCGGTGTGAGTGTGAGCGTGGATGGTTGTTCGTCTGTGTGCCCTGCGATTGGCTGGCAACCATTTCAGGGTGTCCCCCGCCTACTGACTGAAGACGGCTGGGATAGGCTCCGGCACCCCCCGCGACCCTTGTGAGGATAAGCGGATCGGCAAATGAAAGAATGAATGAATGAATATTTATGACACATCCCTGATTGGATTGTCAAAGAACACTATAAACAAGAACAGTTCCTCTTCATATACACTGGATCATTGGCAGGTTACTCTTGCAAAAGAGACTTTAGAACCTCAGATTTTTTTTTTTTAAACCTGGTTCAATCAGCAAAATCGTACTGCATCATGCTGAGAGCTGTGTCTCATACTTTGACCCTCAGAGCTTGCTGAATACCAAAATACAATGCCTCTGGGTATATGTGGCTGGTGAAGTACAGCAGTTTTACAAAGTTCCATTTTCTGAAGTATCTCGAAATATAATGGTTGACATTGTCGTACATGTTACACTACTAAACTAAGTTTCGACATATGTATTGTCCCCCCAACAGAGCTATTTGATTCCAAGCTTTCCTTCCACCAGTGCTTCTGGAAAAAAAAATGTGTGCGGATGTCAGTTTTTATTTAGCCAAGTTAATTCAAAAGTCACTTGTTTAGTTATTTAGGTTCAAATACAATATCATAAGCTAGAAATATTGCGAAAGAATGACAACTACCTGAAATAAATATGAAAACATGTAAATGAAACAAACTTGATGTTCAAGAATTGTAGTGTATTCAGTTAAGCTTCCTGAGAATGACTGCCCATCGCCTTAAACGTGGTTCCCTGAGTCCTGTACGGTCCAGGTTCATTGTTTCTTACCTTGCCATGATTGGGTTCACGAGGCAAGTCCGAGGCCACCATGCTGTAATGATCCACCTGCTGACAAGGTTTGCCAACCGCCAGGATTTGTTCCAGCGAGGCATTCAGAGGCGGACCCTGGGACAGGCTGGAGATGACCTGAGCTAAAGGAACTGGGATCGGCTCCTGCTGCAGTTTCTGGGTAATCCCCTGGAATGAGGAAACTGTGGACTCAGCCCTGTGCTGAATCGCGCTGCTCCTGAACAACCCACCGCCGTTAAGAGAGTAATCCGAATTGTCAATGTTGGGGATGCTGTAATCCATGCAGGAATCTAACGATGTTTCCGCATGAGTTTTTTGGCTGTTATTGAGGCACGGATCCAGTCTCTCTCCGAAGCCAAAGTCCTGCCACTGTGATTTTACTGCCGAGTGCTCTGAGCTGGGGTTGGTACACAGTCCATTTCGGTTGGCGGCTTTCTGTTTGGCGTGGCACTGCTGCGAGAGCTGGTTCTGGATCAGGGACTGCTGCTGCTGCTGCTGAAGGTAGGTTTCATGCTGTTGCTCCAGTTCCCCGTCTCGATCCGATGCCTTGCCATTGAAAACAGTTTGTTGTGAGTTTATGTGTTCCAATTGTATACCTGCATTCACGAGAATGTCTTGGGCTGACCATTGTCCGTTGGGGGCAGCTTCGACATGCCCCATCAGGTCTCCGTTGACTAAGATGTTGGCCAAATGGTCATTCTGATGGCCCCAGTTGTGTACCCCTTTGCCTGAGCACATGCTGAGGTGCTTTTGCATCTGCTGCGACAACTGGACGATGGGAGCCTTCCCGGCCACGGGAGGCTTATGGTGAGGAAACTGCATTTTCACATTTGTGTCAGAGGTGAGAGTGCTTTCCGAAACCGACCCCGTTGTTGCACTCACTGAGGGATTGCAGGGTGGCACCTGTATTCTCTGGTCTGCGGAATCAGTCTTTCCTTCAATGGAGTCATAGATGTATGAAAGAATTTCATCATTCGTTAGTAGGTCATCCAAGGTGGGCACACGCTCTGGGTCTATCTCGACTCGAATCATCCGCTCATCCAATAGGAGAAGCTCAAGATCCTCAGCGCTCAGCCCCAAACCCTCCAGAGCGCCAAATAACTCCCCGTTTGAACACCCGCCATCTTCCGAATCCACGACTCCTTGGCCTTCCAGTGAGAGGGAGTCCAGAGTAGCAAGCAGTGGGTCAAAGCTGGTGCCCGGTTCTGTGATACCTTGATCCACATCACCATTGCTGGGTGTGTCCCAGCTTCTGTGCAAACTGGTTTTAGAATCAGAGAAGCCCATTTGGTCTCCAAAGAAGCTGCTGTGAAAGGAGATTTTGGGATCCAGGGCAGGCTGGCAAACGTACACCGACTCATCTTGGCTCATGAGGGCCCCAAGCAGTGATCCCGGGTCCAGACCATCTCTTAACAACCTGTCAGTCCGGCTCTTCTTTGACTTACTACCGTTCTTCTCAGAAACGCCATCTCTGAAGCCTGCAATGGGATGGTTCGACTGGTAAAGCAAGGCCTCGCCTGTAGCGTAGGTAAAGGGTAAATGCATGGAGCGTTTACGCAAGTGCTCTCCTCCCTCTTCATCCCTGCCAAACATAAAACAGGATTATGAAGTGGAACTGCTGCGGTCTTTGTTGAAATATGATACAAGGTGAGTATCCGCAATTGTAAACTGAATGTTCCAACAGTGGCTCCCGAATAAAAATCACATTTTCAGTATTGTGAGTTTAAGAGTAAAGAAACATACAAAAGGGGCCTCTGGGTGGCGATGATGTAGTCAGGTTTGCCATTTTTGTAAGCCAGACGAGCATTGGCCTGCACCCATTTCCAGCGATTTTCCTTGGTTAGCAGCCGAAACACCGTCAGTCCGCTCTCTCCAGTCTTCATCACTACAGCACAAACAAATACAATCAGTATTGTTGCATCTGATGACCCTTGGACGGCCAGCGAGTTTTCATATTTAATTTTGTGTTTTTTTTTTTTTCCAAATTGATTTATGTACAGCACGTTGATCCTTGAGCCACACTGGTGAGAGTAACATATCTGGCCTCTGAGGTATTTCTCTTCACAATGTGTTAGTGCTGGGTCATCTGTGATACTTTGCTTATGCAGTGGATTTATAGACCCGCCCTCCCTTTCCCATCTTCTACTCTGGCAGCTCTACAGCTTTACTCAATCTGCTCCGTAATCCCAGGGGATTACTAGCAAAAGCTGTTTTAACTCTCTGACTGGGTTGGACTGGGCGTCCTCAACTTTTTTTGACATGACTACATTCAAAATACCGGTACACTATATTTCGTGGGTATTTTAGTAGACGGATAACTCATGAATTCAGAGTATCTTGCATTTAAGTGTCGGTTGATTTAGATCAGCGCGTCATTTGGTAGCCTACCAGCCCCACACACAAACTGATGAATCGTTAAAAATCAGAAAAAAAAATCGATAATTAAAGTGTTGGCAACGAATTTCATTTTCAATTCATTGTGTCTTAGTTATGCTCTACCTCTACAATTAAAGACTATTTTCATGCCCAGCGCAAGTATCGCACAAAGCGCGGTCTAACTTTGAGCATGGGTGGAGTTTCCTTAGTATTTTCTTAGAGTCGCACAGGTGGAAGACGGCGTCTGCGCCGTTGTGGGATGGAAAACAGCCAACTTCTGGCCAATTGACACTGCGTAATATGTGCCAACGAGCTTACAAATGATGCAATGAAGCCTTCAAAACTACTTTGGCACATGGAGAACAATGACCTGGCGTTTAAAGAAAAGCCTTTAGAGTTTGGGGACAAAATTTAGAAAATTATCACAGTGGAACCGGCTCATTGAAAAGGGGTCCCCCTGATTATAACAACTACATTAAGTTTATTAGTGTGTTGAAATTTACATAATTGTACAGGTTTCTGTGTTGGTCCATGTAAATGTTTTACTTCATGTGATAAAACTGACCTTTGGCACAAAACAGGTTTAGAAACATTGATTTAGATCACATCTGACATGATTTGTGTTTTTTGAAAGTAAGTGAAACTTACTTCTGACATGATTTTCTGCACAGTACAACATATCTGCGGCGTGGATGAACTGATAACCAGATCCTCGTACCCGCAGTTCAGCCTCTGTGTACCCCAGCACTATCTTCCCCCTGAAGAGAGACATACAATTCAGATCAGTGATCTTGGCATAATCTTAATGTTACATTTCCTGCACTGGAACCAAATTTTTGAAGCCTACTTTGCATCACAAGCCAACGGTGTAAAATCCAGTTTATGCTTTGTTCTGAAGATCATGTTCTTGGTCCTGATCTCCAGGATGGATGGAGGTTGTAGAGGAGTTGCGATGGCAAAAAGCGCAAGCTGGGCTGGTGCCTTTCCTCCGTTTTCTTGTCGCTGGTTCTGTCCGTGTAGAAATTTCAGCCTGCCCTGGAAGTTCAGCGCCTGGAATGTAGAGAAAGTTGACTTGTGACCTTCTTGTCACACCTTACCATGGTCGTGCTGTTTACTACTCTCCTAGATTATAAAGATGGGCAACAATATGTCTTCAAAATAAAATCTCAGGTCATCTCAAGGTCTCACGCATGATGGCGTGCGTGTGTATGTGCATGTGCGTGCGCAGTAACAGGTCGATCGTGGGAGGTTGGTTGGTCGAAAAGTCGATCTTCGTTCCAAAATGTTTGGGCTATCAGTGCTAGGCTATGTGCTATTAGTGTGTAGTATCGGAGCACTTTCAGGCGTATCAAGGACTGTAAGAATGTACATTATTGGCATCCCTAGAAAGAAGTTGGTTTGGTTATACTACCCCCTTTGGTTGGGTAGGGTTTCATCATACTGAACTTTGCAATGGACAGATTTTTGCTCATTGTCTGACGCTGTAAACCTGACCCAGGTCTAAATCACTGACGAAACTTGCACCTCAGATGGGTAGGAAAAGAAAAGCTTTACGCCCCAAATTCAATTACCGTATTTTCTGCACTATATGGCACACCGAAAAGTCTTCCATTTTGTTAAAAGCTCACACCATGCCTTAAAATCCGGTGCGCCTTGTGCATGGTCATTACAGTAATATGTCGGCCCCAAGATGTCTCCTTGCTGGAAACATGCTTACAATGTTAAAACTTGCTGTTGGTTCAGTGAACTGTGTCGCTGCTTCATTAAATACGTTTTTGTTGCAGCTCTGAAAAAAGGAGAGCTGTGATGTTGTTTTTTAAAACGCACACTTTATTCATGGTTTTCACAGTCTCAACAAATACAGGCACGTCTTTGTCCGTCTCCGTGCCTTCTTTTCTTCCGTTCGACTCGAGAGGCGTTCATGACCGCCTCCGAAAAACGTAAATTAACAATTCCTTCAATGAAACTACGAAAATTGAAAATAATGCATAAAAACAGAAAATCAAGAGAGGAAATAAATTCTTTAGCCCCCCTATAGAATTTATTTTGTGATTTCCTCGTTTGTGAATACAGTACACAACAAAGGAATAAATAACAAACACTTCTGAGACAGTCCAGTCTCCTACATTTTACTGACATCTGATCGTTCTGTTGGTGCTATGATCAAGGAAATGCCGTTTATTTACGTTTTTCGGAGGCAGTCATGAACGCCTCTCGAGTCGAACGGAAGGAGCATAGCTCTATCTAGTGGATGCATTGTAGATTGCGTTTTATAATCCAGTGCATCCAATATATGAAAAAAATTACACAACAGGCCATTCATTGAAGGTGCGCCTCATAATCCAGTGCATCTTTTCGTGCGGAAAATACAGTCATCAAAAAAATTGATTGCCCAGTCCAACACATCTATTCAGTATGTTAATGTCATCACTTTGTAGATACAGTATGGTTTGCCGCGAAACCTACCAGGAAACCAGAGGAATTGTCCAGGAGGCAGCGGAAGCGACACACGAAGCTCCTCTCCAGGAATGATGAGTTTTCCGGAGGAAGCTGCTCAGGGTTATAGGTGACTAAGGGTGAGTGATTATCCGGTTCCAGTTCTACAAACACAAGGCAATCAAATTATTGGCAAACGCAACACAAAACACAATGACTATGTTGTTGGCCTGTTTGCATACGGTCAATTGTGCTGCAGGTATCAAGAGCTAGAAAAGGGAAATTATTTTCTTGCCATAATGTCTGAATTCTATTCTAGTTTGGGTTAAATGTCTAACTTCGACCATTAAAACCACCTTGTGTAGATCCAACTTGCACAACAGCAATCACATTTGAGATCAAGCTTGAGATCAAGAGTGTGTGTCAGAGCTATGGGTCTTATTGCTAAAATCCAAAGACACAGACATAAGCATCTTACAACCAAAATACAGAAGGGGACCACTTCACCTTGTAAGCCCGCTGAAGATTACAAGGTCATGTGACCCAACCTGAGGGACAGTCTTATGGCTTACTGCCTAAACTGTGTGTACTTAACCGTCTGATTTTGAATTCCCAATGTTTGTATGCCAACATGGGCTCTTTGTTCTAATTAAGTCATTGACGAAAAAGATAGTCTCCTATTACAAATTACACATTGCTGTCTTATTACAAACCTCAATTTGAATGGTGATGAAATGAAATGAAAGTAGGGATGTTGTGTAAAATGTCAATAAAAACAGAATTCAATGATTTTCAAGTCCTTTTCAAGCTCTATTCGATTTAATACACGACAAAGACAAGATATTTAATCTTCAAACTGATCGAATTGAATGTGTTTTTAGGGGAGCAAATATTCCTCATTTTGAACTTGATGCCTGAAGCATATTACAACAAAGCTCGGAGGGGGGCAACATAAAACTGGGAAAGTTGAGGGATGCTGAAGGGATGGTATAAAAGGAGCAGCTGTTGAACAAGTAAGGATGGGGCGAGGTTCACTCCTTTGTGAACAACTGCGTGAGCAAATAGTCCAACATTTTAAGAATGTTCATCAGTGTGCATTTGCACGGAACTGAAGGATTTAATGATACAGTCCTTAATATCAGCAAAAGATTCAGAGAATCTGGAGCAGTACTTGCAATGAAAACAGCAAGGCCGAAAAACAAAATTTAATGCCTATGATCCCTCAAGCGGCATTGCAAGAAAAAACACCATCTTTGTTTCAAGCATTTTGCCACATAGGCTCAGAAACAATACAGAAAGCAATTGTCAGTTAACATAGTTTGTTGTTACATCTACAAATGCAACACTCTGAAATGTCGCCACAAAGCGGAAAAGTGGCCTGTGGTCTGATGAGTCCACATTTCAATTTGTTTTGGAAATCACGGATGTCATGTCCTCCAGGCCAAAGAGGAAAAGGAACACGTGGGTTGTTATCAGTAAATTCAAAATCCAGCATATGTGCAGAAAACATGCCAAAGATGGAGCTTATTCGAAATTTGTTGGACATGCCTTGGCATCTTGATGTAGTTTAACTAGCCCTACTCTTAGACCTTGGCGGACATCAGCTGGAAGAAGCCTCAAGTTTTTTGTTTCCCTTTGTGAAGTTTGAACTGACTCTTCATTTTGAGATGGACTTGGTGAAAATATGACATGCAGAACAAACTATCAACCTTGAGGAGAGTCCTGGCTGATGGCTGATGGTGCTGCAGGAGGATTCAACGCCCAGTGTAAGTTCCTCCTGAGCTCCTGCTGGTCTTCTGTATGGACCAGCTCATATACACTCTGGTGCATGACGTCGGTCTAGGGGAAAAAAAAAGAATAAGTGGGGAGTCAAAGTCTGAGTAATGACTGTCTGAGCCAGGCATGCCAGCATCCTACAGTAAATTTAACAAATAAGTTAGTTGAGTACTTAATGCAAATTGGATATGGATGAATGAATTAAATTATTGTGACATGTCAACTTGTATCTTAACTCAATGGTTCCTATCTGGCGCCTTCGTATGTGAGAGATCTTAAGGGGTGTTGCTGGATATGATCCAATTTCACTTAATTTGTGCAAAACTGACAATTTCTGACCATATTTTCCGCACTATAAGGCACACCTAAAAGCATTTCATTTTCTCAAAAGCCGACGGTGCGCCTTATAGACAGTGTTAGTCTTTTTATCTTCCCCATTGAGTTGGTTCCCCGTTAGTGTTCCTATGCCATCTAGTGCTGATTAATAGCAGGAACCAATTTCTGCCCTACACTAATTGACTTGTGTATTCGACAACACACACTCAGATAACTGCTTTGTGAGCGCCGCGAAGCCATTGTGAAACGAAGAAAATACCAAAAGCACAGTTAACTACTAACTAAACGAAGGAAGAAAGAGACAAGCAAAACTTCTAAGGATGATTAGCCCCTTGTGGATGTGAGCACATGAGGTTTGTGTGCCTTTATGTTGAATCAATTGTCCTCATGACTTTTGTCCTTCATTTATTATTTTTTTAATGCCATTTGTATTGATATATTTCATGTCCATATTTGTGACCAGTTATCACGGGTTGCCAAGGAATCAACCCTGTATTCCTATGGACTTTATGTTGTGCGTCATGCTACATCATGGGGGAGCTCCATATGGATCAATATTCTGATTTCATGGACGTATTAATTTAAATGTTCTGTAAAGCGCTTTGTTACACCTGTAGCAGTTGTGAAGGCTCTATATAAATAAAGCTGTATTGTATTCCCTTTTGCGTAGCTCTATCAAGTGGATACATAGCGCAACCGCAGCCACTATTGGAGCTTCTATTCTATCCACCTTATGATGATGCAGTGTGCCCTATATATGAAAACAGTTTTAAAATAGGCCATTCATTGACGGTCCGCCTTATACTCCAAAGCGCCTTATAGTGCGCAAAATACAGTAATTATAAATATATTTTTGTTCTTCTATCCATGCCAGAGACATACAATGAAAGACGCAACAATTAAATGCTCTTCCAAAAGAGAGCAGGAGGTGCAATAAAACTGTGCATCTTCATTCATTCAACTGAACAAATAATGGCTTCCTGCGAGTACAATGGCTTTGTGTTCAATTTAACAGGCCAGGATTTCACACAAATGAAGTCAATATGTGAGTAAATTGAGACAAGATCCTCATTTTTGCTCTTTTTGTATGTTGGTGTGTCATGAGATTTTTCTGATATAAAATGGGTGCTTCGGCTCAATGCAGTTTGGGAAACATTGACCTAGACAGTCTAGATAGGTGATTGATGTGTTCTACTGCTGAAACTGTCCCATTCCCGTAAAAGGCCAAACCTGATAAGGTCAAATTTTCATTGTATTTCGGTGGGAGTGATTCTTGGTACCATGCAGGGAGTGAACCCCAGGATGTTGAGCAGTTTCCAGCAAATGTTGCACGCAACCTGCGTCCTCCTACCACCTCCAAACGTGAGGTCATGCAGTCATAAAGCCAAAGAGCACATAACTGAATGAGAAATATAATCAGTGACCTGATGGAAGCCCAAGTAATCCTGGATGGTGTGAGAGGAGAAGAAGATGGTACCACTGGCAGTGATGACCAGGACAAACCCATTGAGAGCCTTGAGGAGGAAACACAGAGTTAGTTAGTCAAGCAGCGGTGAAAAGAAGGGCAAGAGTCTTCCTGCAAGTTGTTTTTTTTAATTGTTACATAATGTTTACTCAGAATAAAATTAACACAACAAACATTAGTGCGCAGGCCATCTCAAGTTGTAATAATGTGTAGCACGGGGAAATTTTTTAATGCACCTATTCATCAGGTCTTTGCCAATTCTTCAGCCATTCTAAAAGTGGCTATTAACCAAAGATTTTGTCTTCAAATACATTGAAGGTTCGCAATGATTTTATTTTGTTGTGTGCTTTGCGATGCCAGTGTGTTTGCTCTATGTTTCAGTGGGAGCCTGCAAAAAATCAAGTATAGCTTTGTTGTACTATTTATTGCTGTAGAGCACAGATGAAATGTCTTCCCTCTCAACTAGAAAACAAGAGGAGCCGCTGTGGGTGCCCGCACCGCCATCAAAGATGTAACCTGTTCCAGAATTCAAATGATTGAATTCAACAATGACAATGTATGGATGTAGTGTCAACAGTGAGAGCAAGTGAAAGCACCCACTCAGAAACTAGCAAAATATCATGGGTCAGAATCAGTATTGATGAGCAAACTTCATTAAATTTTGATCTCATACGCAACGAATTTAGACAGCAAATTTGGGCCAACAGCACATTTTAGATAGCTTTTTGTTTTTTGTTCTTTCATAAAAGGGTTTCCACATTTCGAAGATCCCATCCATCTATCCATGCATCCATTAGTCCATCCACCCATCCATTTTCTAATCCGATTATCCTCACAGGGGTCGCGGGAATGCTGGCCCTATTCCAGATGTCTTTGGGCTGTAAGCGGGGAACACCCTGAACCGGTTGCCAGCCAATCGCAGGGCATAGACACATAGACAAACAACTATTTGCGCTCACAATCATACATAGGGATAATTTAGAGCGTTCAATCAATCTATCTTGCATGTTTTCGGAATGTGAGGGGAAGCCAGAGCACCCAGAGAAAACCCTTGCAGGCACAGGGAGAACATTCAAACTCCACACAAGAAGGCCAAGGAGGGACACAAACCGGCGACCTCTGCACTGCGAGGCAGACATGCTAACCAGTCGACCTCCGTGCCGCCCCTTGGACATCCCATTCACATAAATAGTTTTTTTTAAAGAAAATGACAAAAATGGAATATGTGCTTTTCAGAGGATGACGACGATATAATAATTATCAAATGCAACTTGTGTCAGTATTATAATTCGCAATGGCAACCTGTCCAGGCAGCAAAACCATTCAAACACCCGTCCATCCATCCCCTTTCTCTTTTTCTATCATACAAGTTTATTAGTGTGAGTGTTGTGACCTAACTGAACCTTATCTGAAGCTCAAAAACAAAACCAAAAAAATGAAATAAAGTATACGAAAACAAAACCCTTAATGATAAAACAGAAACAGAAGCAAAACAGCACACACGAAAACAGGCAGGAACATGAAGGTCGTTGCTATGTCCATAAATGCAAACGTTTGGCTGCAAACACAGTTATGGGTCCAACCAACATTATATTATCAGATTGGCTCACCTCAGAACATGGAGCCAACCTTTCACCAATGCAAAGTTTGCAAGCCTCCAAGTCACAGAAGCCAAAGAATTACCAGGACCCAAGCACGAGAACCTTGCCCAGGAAAAAAAAATCTCCCTCGCACCATCCAATGCACCCACACGGACCCCCCCCCCACCCGTCCCAACACACACACACACAGCCACACGAAGAAGCTCATTCCAACTGCTTGTATTCCTGTTCTTGTTCTTTTGCCTTTTATATTTGGGGGTCCTGCAACCCACACACAAGCACCCCACACAGAGGTCCCCAGGGAACCCGGTCAAAAGCTTTGTTAAAGTCCAAAAAACACATGTAGATTGGTTGGGCACCTTTGAGGACTCTGCTCAAGGGGTAGAGCTAGTCTACAGTTCCAAAGCCAGAACGGAAACAACCCTGCTCCTCCTACGAGACATATCATGGAAGCTACGCGTGCTCCCCCTGTTGTTGGACCACCACACCGTCTGCCAATCCAGAGGTGCTGTCCCCAATGTCCATATGATTTTGCAGAGACCCCACTGCGTAAGAGCCTTCACCAATTTCGAGCTGATGTTATTCACCACTGAGGCCCTGCCATGAGCAGCTTTTTATTCACCACAGTGCCCTCAATCCTGGAGATAAGAGAGCCCACTTGGGAGTTCCCAAACTCTACTTCCTCAATGGAAAGCGTCTCGGTGGAATTGAGGCCTGCAAAGTATTCTGCCCATTGACCCACAACTTCCCGAGTCAATGTCAACAGCGCCACATCCAGTGAAATCTAAAGCAACACTCAGGTTCTGATTGGGATGGGGGGTGAAGCCGAAGCTCCGTCGCAGACCAAGGGAGTCCCGCGTGGAAGAACAGCACTCTCTTTTTTAAGAACCCCCAAAACAACAGCCAGGACCTTTCCCAGACTAAAAAAGCAGAAGAAAGGCTACCCTCTCGCCCTCCGGGGCAAATCTCAGGGTACAGGAACAGAGCCAGGGACAATAATTATGTCTAAGGGTCACCAAACTTTTTGGAACTGAGAGCAACTTCTTGGCTCCTGATTAGCATGAAATGCTACTACTGTATGATAGACAGTGACAGAGATTTTACTTCTAAATTGACAAGTTTTCTCAAATTACTTTTAATCATATCATCCATCCATCCCCCCATTTTCTGAAACGCTTTATCCTCACAAGGGTCGCGAGGGGTGCTGGAGTCTTTCCCAGCTGTCTCCAGGCAGTAGGCAGGGGACACCCTAAACCAGTTGCCAGCCAATCACAGGGCACACAGAGACGAACAACCATCCGCGCTCACACTCACACCTAGGGACAATTTAGAGTGTTCAATCAGCCTGCCATGCATGTTTTTGGAATGTGGGAGGAAAGCGGATTACCCGGAGAAAACCCACGCAGGAGAACATGCAAACTCCACACAGGGAGGCTGGAGCCGGGATCGAACCCACGACCTATGCACTGTGAGGTTGACGTGCTAACCACTGGACCACCGGGCCACCCCTTTCATATCATTTTCTTGTGTTTTATTATCTTATATATTGGCTTTTATTATGGATGACTTGATCATGTTCATGATTTCTCACAATGAAGATACAGATAAACCCTAATATGTAACACTTGATTTCTAAAAATCTCTGCCAGTATTTATATTTTCAAATGAACACTTCCACAGCATTCTGAGAAATTCACCATGTCCCATCACTGGTGTTGGAACAGCCCGGCGAACGACTCATGTGGTCCTTGGGGGCTACGTGGTACCGACGGGCGCCACATTAGAGAGCCCTCATTGTGCGCCTGCCTGCTTGGCCCATCTCGGTGGCGGCAACTCAGAGTGGAAGTGAGTCAACCCCGTTCCAGAAGATTGGTCATTTGGAATAGATGAGCAGAGTCTCATTGGTGAGACACCAGACTGGGTGATCGGAGGTTCCTTGTCGCACACCTGCTTTCGATTTGCCAATCAATGGGTTGATAAGTGCAGCCGTGGCGGAAAGGAGACATTGCACGCATTTCAATTGCTCACCTCCATCTGTCTAGTTAGTTACTCTTGCGTGCCTATTGTTTTTTTTCTCCATTTTACAGGAAAACCATCTTGATTTCTGTTTTGTAGGTCCGATTTGATATGACAATTTTTTTTTGTTTGTTTTTGTCGTCTCCTTTTAGTAGACGAGGCTCCATCCTTTGGTAATACTCTTTACTTTGTGTCTTTTACAGGCAACACATTGACCTTTGTTCTTTGTTGTTTTTTTTTTTGTTTGTTTTGTTTGTTACTTGTTATTGTTCATGCCATGTGCTCCCATGTTTAATGAAACTTTTATTCTTATTTCATTGGTGTCCAGAGTTTGGATTGGGATATTTTTTATGGCATAAGGATAAACCTGACATTAACCTTTAAAACCTAGGTGGTTGCAAAAACAGGTAAAAAATAGAAGGAAAGACAAAGCCTCTTAGGTGAATAGAAGCGGTGATATTTCCAGCTCACCTGGTGCGCACATGCCCTTTTCTGCATTTACCAACATTCCGTAAACAAACAGGTCACAACAAACACACAAAAATGTCAACACTAACATGCATAGAAGCCCAGGCATCTCGCTCCCAAAACAGGCCAGGGGCGGCTGCGGGGTTGAGCAAGTGACTAATGCTGGAGACTTTGTTATTCTTTTGGACACACACACACACACACACACACACACACACACACACACACACACACACACACACACACACACACACACACACACACCACATACACGGAGTGACCAAAATGACCTGTCACACTTCCTGCACGATAAACATCAACACCCAAATGTCAAAGCTGTGAATTTCACATCAGTGGCCACTAAACTGATTAAAGCATTTACTTTGTGATAAATATAGAATTACCGTATTTTCTGCATGATAAGGCGCGTCGGATTATAAGGCGCACATTCAATGAATGGCCTATTTTAAACCTGTTTGCATATATAGGGCGCACTGCATTGTAAGGCGCATAGAATAGAAGCTACAATCGTGGCTGCAGTTGAGCTGCGCATCCACTAGATGGTGGTACACTAAAGGGAATACATTATGCAATACAGCTTTATTTATAAAGCCTTCACAACTGCTGCAGCTGTAACAAAGCGATGAGAACTAGTCACAAACACCGACATTTGACTACAAATGGCATTACAAATTGAATGCTTTTAGGTGCGCCATATCATGCGGAAAATAGGCTTTGTTAAATTCGATTATTTTCTGTGGGAAAGGTTTTGCAGGGGGAAAGGCGGAGAATAGTTGTCCTACCACAAGTGGACTGACGCCTTTACTTTGTGTCATTGAAGTAATATTTCATTCATTTTTGTCAGTCGTGGATTTTGATTCAATCATTTAAAGCTAACCATGTTTCCAGCAAGCAGTACTGTGCAGCAGCGTTCAGTACACAAAGGATTTTCCTTTGTTTCCTAAAAATCCCCAAATATCTCTTCCTTACTTTCCCGCTTATCAGCCTTCTTACATTGGGGTCCAGGTGAACCTCTTTTTACTTGTATTGGTCAGCCTGCTGTACTAGCACCAAGTTGACTGGAGTCTGTACTAGGAAAGACGTAATGTGTGGAATTTGGACAAGTACACATTTTTAACTCGTTCCATTGTTAACATTCGCACTCATCAGCATGCTCTTGATACTGGTCGTAATCACTCAGTATAATTTGTTCGTGTCAGGTGAAGCTGGTTTTACACTGCTGACCATTGATGGGCTAACAAAAAATTGTCACTTATGTGACGACAATGGACTTCGAAGAAAACAATGTGAATTGAATTCTTATGCTGTTTGTGTTGCACATGCAGCACTGCTCCGAGCGGCGATTATCCTTTTTATTGCCGACTTATAGGCTGCGATGTTGCACTGTTCGCGGCTGCTGCAGAAATGGCCTACATTGTGGTGGTATAACAGGCTTGATCTGGATTTACAGTACAAACCATTTTGTGAATCAAGCTACATTGGACCACTGGCATAATCATAGCTATACCTCATGCTTTAAAGTCATCGTGTCATTCTGGAGTTCAAATACATACAAAATGATAAGCAACAAACAAAAAGATTGTTTTTTACAAATAAACCAGAAGCAAACAGGAAGAGGCCCCCTATTTGGAACGGTAACCTCTTGACCGAGCCCGCTTCTCCATATGAGCTTTCATGTTTAATTACAAGCGAGCCAAAAGGATTGCAGACTATAACGACATAACGAAACTTCCCCCGGTACGATCGTGTTGCGGTGGGAGGGCAGGCGTCTCCTTCCCCTCCTGGAATGCCAGTGTGGTGCACATTGGGAGGAATTGGACTGGAAAATCAATGACTCCGGCAGATCAAAAGCGATCTGGCAGCCACTGAGTTTTTGCTCCATCCAATCACACATACAGTACAAAACTGCCATGAAGCGAGCCTGGATGCACTCTGTTCAGCCTTTTTTGGAAGTATCAATGTCAACATACAGTGGTATGGCCAAATTTAATGCCTTGTTAGGCAAACCAGCTTTATTTATGTCGCGCATTTCATACACAAGGTAGCACACTCAATGTAGGTCATATTTCATTAAAAATACAAGATTTAAAGGTATTTACAAACAAAATAATTACAGTGTTTTAGTTGTATAGTATCATTGAAATGTTTGTGCCATGTTTAAGATCGGCCAATATTCGGTAGAGTTTTAAATAATATTTAATTTGGGGCAAAGTTGAGGCTGGACTTCCAGCAGATGTTCACATCAGACGGATTTAATTAACCTGATGTGCCAGATGGTTTGTATAACAAAACGTTTGGCCACGTGGAAAAGAGCTCATAGAATCCTGTACGGCTCAATAAAGATGCACCACATTTTAAATACAGGAACAGTATCCTTCGATATTTCCAAATCCAGCGAAGTGCATATGTTTTGTTTCCAGTGCAAAGGACTCTCTTGCATGAAAAGTACCATTCAAAGATGGTACAAAAATGTTGAACAAGAAACCAACATTAAGTACAAGAACTCCTTTTGTACATTTTTTCACAAAAATGTCCTCACTCAAAAATGCATAACAATTGTTGAGGTACTTTGTTTTTCATATCCTTCCAGTTTTACCCAAAAATATTAGGTCGACTTACGTTGTAGTACAGGGCATTGTCCACCAGAACTCAGATGGCATTAGGAGCCCATGGTGGGGGGGGGGGGGAGCACCTGTCCGGCTCAGACCTCTGATTTTGTAAATAAAATAGCTTGGGGCAGGTCTGTCACACTGAGTGGCTGGTATGAGAGGAGGAAATGTCACCTGTCCGGCTTAGACCTCTGATTTTGTAAATAAAATAGCTTGGGAGCTTGGGGCAGGTCAGTCACACTGAGTGGCTGGTATGAGAGGAGGAAATGTATCGATGACGTGACGAGGAGCGTGCAAAAAAGACAGAATTTGCACAAAGAAGTTAACGTTAAAATGACCAAGATAGACTTGCCAGGCAAAAGCTAGCGGCCGGCCAAAGTCGAGCGTAAGCTCGCCAGCTAGCTCCATCAGTGAAGTGGCATTGACCCTACCACCGTGTCTCGTTTCCCTGGTAGGTCAATCAGATTTAAAGGGTGTAAAGTAGAATATAATGCTTTGGATCATTTTTTTCTGATATTGATAATGTTCAATATACAAATCAGATTTTTAAAATTGGGCGCCCTGCAAAAAATACATGCTGAGAATAACAGTTCTCTCCAGTGGCCGTGCAAGTGTGCATTGAACATGTGTGCGCATTAGTGAGCATGCATGAGTGCGCGCATGTGCTTGTGTTTTGGCAGGGGTCCGGGCTCCAAAAAATTTTGCACCGAGGCCTATCACCAGGTTGTTACGCCTCTGGGCCAGTAGAAGACCCATTGTAAGGTCAACTAAGACATACCTGCCATCTACTGGTGATTGATCATATTACAACCTAAAAATACAGTCGACCTCTGCATACTCGCAGTTCAGCACCCGTGTGTTCACATATTCTTTTTTCTATTTTTTTTGCATTTTGGACTTTTGCCTGTTTTTCATGGAAAACGTATATTGAATGTTCATCAGCATTGTAGTATTTTTGGAGGAAATAAACTTTTTTTAAATGTTTCTCTTTTTTGCCCAGCTGCACATGCCTGTCTTAGATTGTGTGTGACTTCAAACAGACACAGTTACAATGGAATATTCTATTCAAGTCATTTGATTTGTGACAAAGTCAGTGTCAAGTGTAATGTATAAAGTAGTTGACAATTGCTTACAATACAACAGGGTGGGGAAAATGACTGTCAGGTGGTCAACTAACCCCCCCTCACCTTCACAGTTCCCTTTCCGCTTCGGATGCTGCCGAAGCTGGCAAAATGTCAGGTCGCCTTTGTACCCCTATTAACCCGTCACTTTTGAGAAAGGCCCTGATATAAAATTTGAAAAATGACTGATCAAAGGTTGAGGGTGTGTCCCATTCAATTAAATCAACCAATTAGTAGAAAGCACATGGTGAGACCCTGATTAGCACAGTCAAATGTTCAAGCAAACGTCCGGAGTGACAGTCTCCAGGATCGGTTACATTCTGACAATCTCTTAAAAGGCATTGATGTTGCACGCCCTAATTGACAAATATTTTTCTTCATTATGTGTTTTGGTTGTATCACCAAGTGGAGACTGGGACTTGTCTCGATGCTAATGAGAGACCAAAAGCCTGGAGAATAGGCCCCAAATTCATCCATTGTTAGGAAAAAATATGTTCATCTCTTTACCTGAAGTGCCTTAATTATTGATTATTTTTATGTTCATTTGTATACAGGTACTGTATTTATTAGCAGTCCAGTTTACATGGCTTGTGCATGTGCATTGAAGGGCAAAGAGTGCGACTAAGTCGGTAGCGTGTTTACCGGATTATAAATTCCAGTCAGTTGTGCGCTACAATAACAAAGTGAGTAGTAGAACTTGTGACATCAGAATGCATTATTAGAGTGTTTTAAAGTTTGATTCTTTGCTAACGTTACAGTGTATAGATCGTCATCTACATCCGCTACTGAAAGTAGTGTGCTTTGTCTTTCTCACTGTCAGAATACGAGCACGACACAGGAAGGGCGATGTTGTTGTGATAAATGTAGCTAGCTAATATGCCAGCATTCTTGCTAGATAAAATTTGGAAATGTAGTCATTTATTAATTGTTATTATTTATCATACAGTGCTGTGAAAAAGCGGCCCGGTGATCCAGTGGTTAGCACGTCGACCTCACAGTGCAGAAGTCGCGGGTTCAATTCCAGCTCGGGCTTCCCTGTGTGGAGTTTGCATGTTCTCCCCGGCCTGCGTGGGTTTTCTCCGGGTACTCCGGTTTCCTCCCACGTTCCAAAAATATGCATGGCAGGCTGATTGAACACTCTAAATTGTCCCTAGGTGTGAGTGCGAGCGTGGATGGTTGTTCATCTCTGTGTGCCCTGCGATTGGCTGGCTGGCAACCAGTTCAGGGTGTCCCCCGCCTGCTGCCCGAAGACAGCTGAGATAAGCTCCAGCACCCCCCACGATCCTTGTGAGGATAAGCGGATCGGAAAATGGATGGATGGATGCTGTGAAAAAGTATTTGTCCCCTTCCTGATTTCTGGTTTCTTTGCATATTTGTCACACACAAAGGTTTCAGTTGATCAAACCAATTTTGAGATCACACAGAGACTACCCAAGGAAATACAAAACGCAGTTTTCAAAACGATGATTTCATTTACCAAAGGGAATAGTGACGTGTGAAGCCCCAACACATGCGATTGACAACCAGTCTCGGCTAGAGTCTGCCTTTCACCCAAAATCAGATTGGATGAATGCCAGAGCCCCATGACACTAAACAGGATAAGCAGTTTTGAAAATGGATGGAATCACTCTACATTGTAATGGCTTCCTCTTTAACATAAAAAATGTCTGCAAAACTGGACGAGTCATAATTTTGTATTTCCCCCCCTGACAAACAAACAGATGCAGGTCATTATAAGCAATCTCAAACACTGAACGCTTCAGTGCAGGTTCAGTTTAGAAATATTTTGGTCAACAAGCAGCGGACCATTCAAGTGTACAAAACAGTGCAGTATTGTTGCATGAGTGCACACCAGACAGTGCCAGATGTGTTGAGTGAAAAGCCACCGCGAGAGTTTTGGCATCCGAATAGATGGCCTCAATAGAATTTTGAGGACTTTTTCGAGATTAAAAAAATACATGGAGAAGATCGAGACAAGTTGTTGCACAATGATAGTTCTTCAGATTCAGTGACGCTGTCAATAAATAATCCTTTGATCACTTTACGTCTTGACTGACCTGCAGCAAAAGTTCTCCTTCAGGTATCTTGGCCTCTACAGCTCCTGCTGTTTTTCCGTCGACATTATTCAGGGTGACTGGAGTGACTCTCTCCCGGTTCGTCAGGGCGACTGTGGAGAGAGAAGAATATGAAGCTGGGTTGGAGAGGGGTGGTGGCGGCGATTTGGGTCCTGTGATCCTCAGGATGCGAAAGCCAGTCTACTTTGGCTCATTGCTTGTTTAGTTCCCAAATACAAATCCGTGTTTTCAAACTTGATGAGGACTTGCCATGATAAATGTTTAATATTACAAAAAAAAATCTGAATTAATCATGAATGATTCAAAATTCTGAAGACGTTCCTCTACACACAAGTGTATTGGAGTACCCACATTTTGTTCTGAGTCACTGATCAGATGTCACCCGCATTATTAATTTTTTTCATCACTGTAAAATGTTTATAGTAGTACTTGAGATCTCATCATGGGAGAACGATTCACATTTATTCATTGCAAACATTTTTGATCCAGGTAAGATGAAGCTGATCCTAGCTCACTGTGGATGAGAGCCAGTGTCCACCCTGGACTGGTTGCCAGCTAATCGCAGTAGTTGTTCAAAAGACAGTTTCATCGTAGCATCGTGGAACCTGATTGTTTTATTTGACAATTTTTACGTGCACACAGAATGTCAGAAAAGGGCATTTACACCTGTCTGTCAGTACTGACGGAAGGGCTGTCGGTCCATCACTGACAGACTCCCGTTTTTGCTCGTGGAGTGATGACTGATAGAAATACTGGAATAAACGCAGACGAATGTGATTTTCGGCTGACCCTGGATCGCCACAAACCCAAAAAAGAAAGACAAGGGAGGTGAAGGAGCAATAGAATAAGAAATGATCTATATATATTTTTGTGTTAAGTTGTCCAAATTGTTTCAAAATGAACAAAATTGGGTGCTGTTACTATGTTGAAGTATTTTTTACTGTCCTAAAATAGCGGTGATGAAATGTAATTTCACAATGAAGGAACCGCATTAAAGATAACAATGAGGGCACCCCTTGTTGCTTTGCGGATTCCCCTCCGGCCACCCTCATATCTAGGGTAGATTTTTCATATCTGTGATTTTTCTGCCATTTTCACATGGATGCAGTAGCCAAATGTTCAAGCGCTTGAAACTCTCACAAGTTTTAAAATATATGAATTGCATATTTAAAGAGTAAACGTACAATCGATCTGATTGCAAATTCTGAAACCTGTTCTAAGTAAAGAATGTATTTACAGTTACTCACGTCACTCAAAATCATTACCGGTACTTACACGCCACAGCAAACCAACAACATGGCTGAGAAGTAATTGTTTATCATACCATCCACAGTCATGGTTTCATGAAATATAATGCACATATACAAGAACACATGCACGGTCACCTCTGGACACCTCTCACTGAGGTGTTGTTCTACTGTGGCCACAGCACTGAATATTGTCTGGCTCTGTGTCTAGGGCAGACTACTTTCTGTTTCAGAACTGTCAGATGAGTCGGGGGCGAGGGCACTCAGTGCACTGGAGTGTCCAGAGAAGCCACATCATGGCACCAAACACAAGAAACTTGACTGAAGTTAGGCACATTTTTTTCGCCGAGCGCCCACGTTCCAATCTACCAAAATAGGTTGCATAGTATTTTTGTCAGTCCTCATGCATAATATCCCCTTTTTATACACTTCCCTTGCTATTTGGCATTTTCTGAAAATGACTTTCTTCTGGACAATGGCTGGCTAAAATGCGCTTACGGTTATGGGTTTCTTGCCACAAGCGTCCACAAGTCATAACAAGGCAATCACAAGTTAGTATGAGTAATAACTCCCCATGCCATTGGCTGACAAACGTGTTGGATTATGTCACATGCAGTTTGTTTGAGAATAAGGTCATTGGTGTCAGACCAAAGCCGTGTCCCGTGTGAAGGAGCATTCTGTCGCAGCAAGTCCATATGATAGCTGAGAAGCCCACCCCGCCATTCACACATGGACTCCTTGTTAACCCTCCTTTGCAGACAACAAAAGAACTGACCCAAAACCTCGTTGCCCCATCATGTCATACGTCACTCCCCCACCCACTAGGCGCCAGGTCAGAGGTCATCATGGGTCATGGCACGGTGTTCCTTGCAGGGGTCAGAGATTAAAGTGTTAGCCCATTGCTTTCTTTCTCATGACATCACCTCATGATCATTTAGGTTGACTGTCTCACAATGTGGAGACCTCATTTATGAGCATCCCAGTTACGTTCATATTCATCTTGTGAATTTTAATTCAGGTGATGAGGTTAGTCCTTTGTCCGAAGTTTACCAATTTCCAATCAGATAAATTTCAGATGGCGTGCATACTGCGTTAATTTTTAGCATCCCTGCCTCACAGTTGAGAGGTCCTGCGTTCGAAACATGGCTCCAGCGAGGAGTTTTCCTTGAAGAATCTAAGATGCCTATAGGGGTGACTGTGAATAACTGTTGGTCAACTCGTCATAAAGTAGTCGCCAACAGACGAACCTTCAGCTGTTGGAAAGCTACATAGTTGCTTTGCAAACTTAGCGTGTAGCAAACATGACTGATGTTGTCATGCATGCCGTGGCTGAGAGTCGCGACATCGATAATTTTGGCGATGTCATCTGATCAAAGGAGATTTCGGATCACTCCCGCTTCATCTACAACAGCTTCGAATAACGTGCAGCAAAAGGGAATGAAACTCTGCACCTCCTGTATGCAACTTGCCAATGAGTTATGGTGTATTTTGGATGACGATTTTGTTTCGTTACACTGGTCAACATTTTTTTTTTTTTTTTACACATTCTTTTAATGTGAGGTGCAAGTTAATTTTTCTCGATTTTTTTTTTTTTATTTACTGCCCTGAAGCAAGTCCCTATCCCTGCCAGCGGTTGTCATGGCATCAAAAGCTTACTCGCAGTTGGCCCTACAGTAGAGGGAGGCAGGATGAGCAGTGTTAATTTTCCCGCTCCTGAGTTCAGTGGGGTTAAAAATAGAAATGTGTTCTGTAATTCTTGGGCCTGAACAGATATGTCATTAAGTCACCTGGGACCTGTGGAAAAAAAAAAAAACTACAGTACATGCTTATTGTATTCTTTAAAACAAGCTCATTTCAATCTTGAATATTCTGTCTGTCATTTTAATTTTGGCTCCAAAATGTTCCAATATCATAATATCCTAATGTTTGTCATCTTTTGTTGATTTTCCCGGCACATCATAAACCGAAGGTATTCAGCAGCATGACCAGTAGCTGAATACTGCTATTAAATGTGGGCCAGGCCCAAAGCCTCTTGAATGGCCAGAGGAGGACAAAGAGCAGATCTCGTTAGCAAGCTTCAGTGGGCAGAAGTGTCCGCAATGAAAAATTTACATTCCCCACTGCCATAACATACATGTGGCACAGCAGCAGTCTACCCATGGGTGTTTCCAGTGAAATGCTTGGAATATCTTGCTGTTCCCAAATGGGCTCATTTTAGCATCACGGGGTGCCACGAAAACAACGAACATACATGGCAAAAGACCCTAGTGATCTCGTATGAAATGACGCTACAACACGAGTGTCCTCACTATATTTGTCTTTGCTTTCCTTCGCTGCGCTCCAAAAATGATCTACAAAAGAGGTAAAGCTAACCCATAAAAGCATGAAGGCAATCATTTCCGTTGTAAGGGTTTGATTTTGAAAGGGCACACTTGACAGTATAAGACACAGACAATAATCAAAGTCACAAAGGCAAAGCTGAAAAACACATGCGGCGCAAACTGCAAGCATTATTTTGGTGCTTTCATAATGACCGTATTGGCCCGAATACAAGACGGTGTTTTTTGCATTAAAATAAGTGGGGGTCATCTTATATTAGGGGTCTAGACATTATACCCATCCACGACGCTAGATGGCGCCAGATATCATTGAAGCGAATGCTGAACTTGACTCCCCAGGCCAAAGTGAACCCCTGTCACGAAGAATAAAAATAAAAATAGCGGTAGCACGAAGAAGAAAAATAAAAAATAGCAGTAAGAAAGAAAAGAGAAGAACATAATAGAAGAGATAACAGAAAATGGGGAAACGTAGCGACAATCTGGAGAAAAGTGGGTCGAAGATCGGCCAGGTTAACCAGCAGCTGAGGAGAAGTTATGATGTACTGTAATTTACATTTCAAAAACCAGAAGCCATTCATTTACGAATGTGATTGCACTTTAGTTTACATATTTAAATGTTCAGATATTAAGATTTGAATGAGGAAAAACAACATGCTTTTTCTCTCAAATATATTGTTATAATCATTTGTTTCATATGTACTGTAATTATTTTATGTATAAAAATTAATTTGGTGTTCAAAAAGTATTTTTTCAAACTTGAGTCTTGAAAAAGAGGGGGTCGTCTTATAATCAGGGCCGTCTTATATTCGGGCCAATACGGTATTTTATTTTATTTTTTTACTAAATTAAATTGCATGTCAACACCGGCCTTATTACACTCACATCGGCAGATTTAGGTACTTAGTCCACACCAGTGGCCAAGCAATCAAGCATTTCAAAAACATATTAGAGTGGAACTTTTCCATCTATTTTCCACGTCCTTTGTGACCTGGTTTTGAGGCGACCGCATCTGTACATGCCTCTATCAAACACAAATGCAGCTTAGCGCCTGATGACAGTCAGACAGTGATCCTGATTGAATAAAATGAATGCACAAATATTGATATCATAATTACTGTGCTTGGATGACAAGGAAGACTTCATGAGCTTTGACGTATGCTCGGATGATTGATAAAATGAAAGCTGACAGATAAGCAGTGGCCCTGAAATCAGACAGTTCATCCAACTTCAGCTGCCTTCGGGAGCTTTTTATTTTCATTGTTTCATTGTTATGTCCTTGATGATGTTGACTTTGCACTAAATAGAGGGCTTATTTAATTTTAGATATAATGATCAAGATAAATAAAGATATAATGCAGTCGCTCGGTTTCAGGTGAACTTGTTTTTTATTTTAAATAATTAAGGCATCGGAAAACAGAAACAGTTACTAAAGCCACCCTGGAATATATTTCAATTCAATCAGTCAAACTTTATTAATAGAACATACTTAAACTAACTAAGCTGACC